CCGCCATCATGCGACTCCAGGTCTGTTTAGTCTCGTGCACCCTCTTTCACGACCACAGGTATACCAAGACAATGTCGTAAATCCTTCGAAGGACAAATATCGCCAGACTATCCACCTTTCAGTCCATCTAAGACACGGTGACACTAATAGGTATAGGCGGAATTGAAGATGCTAGAATCTTCCATATTATAATTTTCTATTTGGACAGATGTCACTCTTATAATATCCTAAAGTAAGGGTAACCGAGGATAAGCTTACTAGACAAAGGCACGATAATAGTCACGCGGCGTATTAAACACGTCGTATAACAATAAATATTACGGAAAGCAAGTTAGTTAATCGTCGTTTTATAACTAATTATGATATGTTGTTATTATTTATATTTATTAATTAATTGATCGCTGCAAGGAAAGTGTGGGAATGTGGTTAACAAATTATAAGTGACATAAACCTTCCTCGTAACGGGCTGTAAATCTGAGTTCTCGAGAATAGAAACGGTTACATTTTTGTTTAACCTCCGTCAGGATAATTTCGATGGATTCGGAACACTTTAATGAAACGCGTGTTCGGAAAATATTACCGGGGAATACGGTGAAAATAAAGTGGCCGGATTTAAATTCGCGGGAACGTGACCCAGGGGACATTTTATTTCGGTTCACGCGGAGCGGATGAAGATTGTATTCTGAAAGGTTTTCTAGGGGCCACAAGGCTTTACTGAGAACAAACAAACGTTGGATAGTATGATGCGTTGTGATTTTGATATTAACGGTCGGATTTCTAAGGTATGCGGTCCGATGTTTACCTTAGTGCTTTGGCGGCAATCTGTAGACTGGAAAATGTGAAAAGGAAAGGAGAGGGACCGTTTCGTCCTGGGCCTGCTAGTGGACTCGTCAGTAAGGCTACCTAGCAGACCCTGCCTTAGACGCGGGGATATACGATGGTCGGTTAAGGACGTATATATACGAACGAGGAAGGCTTCAGGTAGTTGCGGGAAAGGTGTCAACTCGGTAGCCCTCTGATGGCGAATGTAGGAAGTAGTGCCGACACAGTGCGATTACCGGTAAGCTTGTCAGCTACCTCTTTTGTGCTTAAGTATACACACACACGTCCGTGGGATATACAGGAGATATGACGTACATTAATAGGTTGAACTATATTACCAATCGCCACTGTATAGTCCTGCACTGTGAGGCCTTCTATTGAATCCAAAACTATCGCTTGTTCCTTGGTCGGCTATTGCAATTGTTGCACCATTCTTGCATACGACGTTGAAGGGATGACTTTTGTTGTCGGTATTGCCATATTTCCAGAGAAATCACTGCAGGTGTCTCGGTAGTCACAGACAACTGCAGCTCCTTTCCCTTTTTTAATTTCTTGCTTGGTCTTAGGAAATTTGATGAGCTGTTGCTCCTGTGTGTTCAATTGCTGAACAGTGGGGACACGGGTTTGACTCTTTTGCTTCTGTTATATTCTGTTCTCACTCGCTGCCACTCGCGCGTAAACACGTCTTACCTCTACGAAGGTTGGACACCCATCAACTTTTCTGTTGTATTTATTGCAAAATATGTGAGAGAACTGATTTGTTTTATAATAATATTGTCACTATTGATAGTACGAGTAAATACCTACAAAATTACCAGTTGTTACGTGTTATAATAGTGTTAAAATAGTGTGGTATAATGCCTTGGGCAATTGATTCAAGTTATTATAACACATCACCGTAAAAATCGAGTTTAAGTAAGGAGTTGCTCATATTGAGTCATATAAGAAGAGTAGGTCTGCTTGAATAATCGCGTACGAAAATATGTTCAAAAAGTAACAAGCATACGGGTCCAAACAGATCCGAACACTATTGCTGTACGGACATTACATGGCGTCCGCTTTCCCAGGGTTAAGGGTTAAGTTATGAAATGCTCACTTTTTTCTTTAGTCTTTTTCCACCTTTTAGTGATATTATTAATTCTTTTTTATAATAATCTTCCTTTTAATATAATCTTAGCTCGAAGAAACAACAGAACATTCCGACAGACCCAAGAAACTTAGTACCAGTTCTATAAGACCAATATCGAGTACAGTGTTTTATGTGTCCTTTCTGAATTTCGTTATCCGACTTGCAATTAGATCGATTACGATAGTATATGTATCAATAATGAAGTTGCGCTGTAGTACAATTGTTAAATACCTATCCAGTCTACCGCTTTTACATCTCAATCAGACGACAAATCGTCCCGACCCAGGGCAATCGACTCCTCTATTTTCATATCGAACCGATGAAATCGCGAATCCCGTCAAGACGACGACGGAGGCGAGCTTCCATGAATACGGCCAACTCAATTTACACATTCATGCGATCGCTTGGTATTTCAAACGCGTCGAACGTCAAGCCGTTCGCAGGCTCAGCCTGGCGCGCGGGAATAAAATTGGAGTCATTTAACGTTTTCCCAGCAGTCTGGCTCGAGCAACGAATACCGGACCGCGAAAGCTCAGTAGTCGGCGACATTCAGTACTAACTAGGTTGACCGCATCGAGAAACTTCGCTCTCTCTTTTCCCTTCGTTCATGGAAATTCCGTTGGTTGCTCACCCCCTTCGACCCCTCCCTCTCACCGTCGGTTTTGCCTCTTTTTCGCCGTTCTTCGTGTGCCCTCCTGGTACACGCTTCGTATCGGATTTACACAGCCAGAGAGACAGCCAATGGAGGCTTCTTTCAGCCCGAGTTTCAAAGAACCTCTCAAAGGAACTCTCCCCGTGCTTTCGACGGCTTCGAAGTTTCCACCCTGCGGACTGGGAAGTAGAAAGACTGTTCCGTGAAGAGTTAGCCCGAGAGCTGCTACAAGAGAAGAAGAATGGCCCCGCGCCGTGATCCGCGCGAAGGCTCTCTCCGCAAGGACGAAAATATATGTTGGGAATTGTTAATGATGAAAGGGTCGCATATTATTCGGCAGAATGTAGTCCGGTGTCGATAGTATTTTATTGTTTAACGCACTTTTGTCCTTTGAGAGTTTTCGGAGGTTTCTTCTTTCCAAGTAGAGAAAGTGGAAGGTAACTGTGCTTAGCGGGTTCGTCTACAAGGCGTAGCAAAGGATTAAGAAATTGGTAAATGCGATGTTAGATAGGACAGCATTGTAGGGGCGGTCCGATTATCGCTCGGAGTCATCAGTACTAGTAATGGGCTCTGTAGCACTGCGAGTCGTTTCGAATATACATACACTGGGCGTCAAAATTAAGAGACCAGTTGGAGACGTTGGCTTGTAACGTTAGTACTGCGCACCGTCTCCCTGGCAGAGGCCAGGGTACTCATCTCATTACACGGCGAGAAGATGCGATGGAAAGAAAGAAGTTCGGTAAAAAAAAAAGCAAATTAGATTCAGTAAAAAAAGAGTGCATCTATCACAATAACTAAGGAAGAGTAGGATGTACACAGCATCTGCACTCTCTCATTACTTCGCATTGTGCACTTTTTGTCATTGCGAAGAGATTGGCTAGAAATGTGTTTGCTAAATTTCTGAAATCTCTCTTTTCTTCTAAAATAAAGTGAAAACTAAAAAAAAACAGATCATAACAGTTCAAACGCTGCGAAATCGTTTTAAAGAGGAAACGTACCGCAAAAGAGTTATTCGCCAATTTTTCAGACCATATCGCAAGTTTCACTATCGAGGGCATAGGGTAAAAAAAATCAGATCAGTTCGGCCTTCGGCACAGGGGTTACGTGTACTTTTAACTTGACAAGAACGTGGACACATGGAAGATTCCACGATTTTTGTTGAAATGGCATCGTGTTTTGTGAAAAATGGTAATTATGCAATATTTTACGTTATTTTGAAATGGACTGTATACGACGAAGAAAAATTTTAACAAGTTGGCAACTGAAGGCCTTTAAAGAGAAATCTCTCAGCTTTCGAAAATTCTTTTGGAATTTTCTATACGATCATGCGTTTGCAAGTTACAGGCGCTCAAAGTGGAAAGTGCCTTTTCTGATATGATGACGAATAACTCAGCCAATAAAAATTGTACAACAAAATTAAAAAAACAAAATTAAAGAGAAAAGTTTGCTCTCTAAAAGTATTCCATTGGGATTACCAGAAAAAATTTTATTTGGCCCACGCATCCTCTCAAAGTTGACCAACATTTTTTAACATTCGCTTGCTACGCTTTATCTTTAAAAAAAAAGGAACAAACTATATGAAAATAATTTTTGAATTCCCGATTCAAAAACTAGAAACTTCAGACTACAAAATGGTCGTATACAATATTTTTTATAACTATTTTTCGCGGAGATATAGTCATTTGAAAATTACCCATATTTTCGGCAAATTTTAGTGTGGTCCCTTAATTTTAACGCCCAGTGTAGATATACATTGACGAACGTACTCGGCTTCCGCTAGAAGGAAAAGCTGCGTAGCGGAAGAGCCTCCTACCACTTGGTAAATGAATTTCGAGTACTGAAATAAATGTTAAACCGAATGTTAATTTGGCATAATTTTCAGTAACTCCCCAGACCAAGACATAGGAGGCCCTTCTCCACGCCACTTTTTTCCGCTAGCGGACGTCGAGTTTGCTCGTCAATGTGGCGAAAAAATCGATCCTTTGGTTTCCTGTGTTCTGTGCAAACTGTGACTCGTTTATAGTTTTTGGACAACAATCTCGTGATACAAAGTTTCTGTAATATTTCTGCCCATAACGCTGTGACTAAAACATAGTCTCTTTAATCTTACGTATTCTGAACAATATTTTTCAGTCTTCTGAAAAAGCCTGTTACCATTATTATTATCACTGTTGCCGTTGCTACTGTAACTACCGCGTTGCGATTATTTCATTTACTCTTAACATTAGCATTACCATTCGCCGTCATCGCCGCTAACAATAACTATTACCTTCATCGTTATTAGTTCAGCGGTGCCATAATAGTTACCATTATGATTGCCACTGCTGCAACTGATAATTACCATTAAGGTTATTCTTTGTATAGCTGTCCTAACACGTCGAAAAATTCTTGTTTCAGGACGAACCTCGTTGGGTCCGCTGCTCCGCGAGGAGAATACCAATGGTAACCTGACAGACGGTGACGATGAGCTGCTGGAATCGTTGGTGAAGACCGCGACGAAGACTCCAGCGACGAGAACGACGCCCAGGGAGCGCAAGAGGACCAGACACGCCGATCGTAAGTCTTGTAAGTGTGATCCCCGCACCCTGCACTTGGCCTCCCTTCTTCCACGTTGATCGATCCTGTCACGTTCTTGGAAGATCGATCACAGGATCTCTTCCGGTGGCTTCCAGTTCCTTCGAGCAATACATTTGTGGACCGATTTTAACGACAACTCATTAGTCTGTTATTGAGCTTACTCGCGAATTACTACTCGTGGACCATTATTCACTGTGAAACAGAATACACTTGATCGATAATGCGACTTTATTGGGAAATAGCAGAAGTTTCTTACGACCGGGTGCAAGGGTCCTCTTGAACCCTTACTTTATGCATAGAATCAAGACTTGGGTATGACTTATAGATATTTTTTTATATTAATGTTCTTCTTAAATAAAGATATGTGTTTCGTTTTATTTGGTTGTGGTTTCTTCTGTGTTATCGAACTGATAGTACAACTCGAAAGGATGCAATTATACGTGATTCTGAGTTGAAATTGTAGAATAAAGTTTGTTTTCTTAGTTTTTATTCTCGTGTACGTTGGCATGCACTGTTCACTAGCGTGTCTGACAACTGCTTGGTATTTCTACTTATTTTAATTTAAATGAACATTAGCAGTGTTACAATATTACTCGTTTCCTGTAATGATCTACCACAAACTTATGGAAAACGTTTACATCAAAGGAACACAAATAATACCATAATATGATCAGTAGACTGCAGATTTTTATTGTCTATTTTACAAAAACTGGCATCAAACAGAAATTCCTTTATTTTATTAAGGATACTATTAGGTTCCAAATAAAACAAATACATCATCAAGGTTCATTAAATATGTTTGTATCCTAAAATTTAGACAATCATATTCGCTATAAATGCATAAAATCTGCAGTCTAATAATCAATTTTTCTTTCAAGTAGAAGTGGCTTCTTCTTAATGAATAGTGAAGTTTGGTTTTTTGAAATACCAAGCCCCTTATTAATAAGTATTATTCTACATTTCTTACTTATTTTGTCATGGAGGATTACCCTATCTCGAGTCTGTATCGCCAGGTAATACCCTCCAGTTCGTGTATACGGGTAAATGATCGATTATTGTATAAATAGTTCTGAATTATTCATGTACATTGTCAATGGTAATTCTATTGGGGTCAATTGTTTAGATTGACGGCATGAATATGTAAATAATAGTGTCAATCAGAAATTAATTTAACAGTTTACACATAAAGAAACGATATTCCGTGGCCCACAAATTTGTTCACAAGAAGATTGTCAAATTTATTTAATGAAATTACGTATCAAGCTACGAATATTATATCAAAATTATGATAAATTTATCAAAATATGTGTATACATATATCATTATATGCATAAAAGATTTTAACGCTTGATTCTTGTACAGGGTGTCCCAAAATAGCTTCGATTCCCGGAAGTGAAGGGTTCCTGGGATGATTTGAAACAAGTTCTTCCTTAGCAAAAATATTATCCGAGGCTTTCAGAGCGCAAGTCTGCCGGTTGATTGGTCAGGGTGTTTTAGTTAATATCTCGTTAACAAAGCCTCGGATAACATTTTTGCTAAGGAAAACTTGGGTCATATCATCCCACGAACCCCTCATTTCCGGCAGTCGAAGCTATTTTGGGACACTCTGTATGTGGACAAATGTGCGAGTCAATGCATATTTTCTAGTACTCATCAATAAAAATCAAAAAAGTTTTTTTTCTCATTTGTGCAGGTAATTTATTTCTTAAGATTTTGTCAGTTGAGATTCAAGGGATGAGACGTTCTATTGATAGCAACAGGAAGCGCTGGCTTAAAAACGTATTAAAATTAATTTAAAAACATCCAGTCGGGTGGCGATTCCCCCTTGGGATGCAAATGCTTGCGCATTTTCATTTGTATCCTTGGGGGGAAATCTCCCCATTAAAGCTGCTTTACCCTCGGCTCTGTTTGGTGCGTTGAAACGATTTTCTAGCGTGTAATTATTAGCAATTTTCTTTGCTCGTTTTGCTGATTTATTTCCCGAAGCGTTCACCCTCGCAGACGTGTCGAGCCAGGGCTCCCAAGGAAGCCGCGGAATTTCAATTCGTGTTAAAATTAATTTAAAAATTAACGTTTCTGCCCCAGAGAGCTCGCGTCGCGTCGTTTAATTCTCACTGATTACTCGAAAAAATATTGTGGCTTCCAGTGAACTGGAAAGATTATCAGAAAAATCAACAAATTTATATCCATGAAGGTTAACATTGTCGTATTAGTGACATATTTCAAAATGTTAATACAGGATACTGATTCTCTAACTGCAATGAAATCAATTATTTTTTACAAAGTCTTTATTTTACCTTTACGATCATTAAACTCCGGATCTTAGTGACATATTACATTTATAGAAAGGAATTCGAAAAGACAGTAGTTGAGCAGAAATTAATAGTTTATTAATTGTTTACCTAAAGGAATTTATTGGATTAGCTAGAGTTTACTAAAATTTAGTTTTATATGTAAGCTCTAGGATCAAAAAAAGTAGATTCGATGAAAGAATTTCCATTCTACTTAATAGAACAAACATAATTTCCGTGTAACTTCTGTGAAATTGTCGCACAAAAAATACGGTTTTTCAATCCATTTTTAAAAGCTTTAATAATAGGATTAGGAAGCTCGTAATTGGTTGGCAAGAGTGTCAATTCAAATTGATCTCATTTCGATTAAATATCGTCGTGTCAAGATACGTTATAACCGATTAAACTTTGCATTTCAAAAACAACATGTATTATGTAATGATCGATTATTTTTCTAAAATGAGAGCACTTTTAGAGAAATTTAAATTGGGATGAACTGTGAGTAGTCTGTTTAGAACAGCAGCCAAGGCCGATCCCGCGGCATTCTAACGCGTCTGTTATATCCCGCTCAGACGCATTTTATCTGCGAAATATTTCATACGACTGCAAATGGGGTCCTCGAGTAAATTTGCGTTGTCGCTTGAAACATTCGGTCCATAAATAGAGGCTCGCGACGCGGCGATCGATAAGCGGAAGTTTGGAGCCAAAATTCTGAACGCCAGTGATCGAGGTCGACGCTTGTAGCGACGTTCCCCCCTCGATCTTCTTTGAACTCTTCTCATGCACCTTAATAGCACCATTCTTCCTTCCTCTATCCTCTCATACTCAAACGCATACGTATGTAATTCTGTTATCATAAAAACGATTAACTAGTACGATAAGAATTGGAAGCTTTAGATTCTTGCACATCAAATTCTCGTATGGACATTTCTGTTAATCAAGTTTTAGAGACGCGTAAGCTTGGTAAAATAGAATTTATAAATGAATACTCCATTTAATTTATAAATGATGCCTGTTCGTTATATTGTCATTTAAGTATTTATCGAATTGAACTTGTACATTACAAGCGAACAAAGAAGTAGTGGTGGTATCTATCTATTTATTGAATCGTCTTAATATTGGGTGATGTTAATGTTACGTTGTGAAATTATTCTGTTACTTTTTAATGTTGTATAAAAATATGAAAAGTGACTTTTTTTATCAAGTATATGATAGTTTTAGTTTCTATATTTAAAAAAAACATTTTTTATACTTTGGCTAGTACGGACGATCTTGTGTAAGAATAATACCAGTAGCTTATTTGTTGATTCTTTAAATTAATTCAATAGTGAATTATTTTGTTAACAGTTTAATAGATGTACAAAGATCTAGAAATTCAAGAAAATCCCTGATTACTATTTTTAAAGAAAATTATTTCTTTGCTGTGATATGACTTATTTTCAACGATACATCAAATGAAGCTACACTACAAGTGAAAGCATTGCACAAAAATTTATTTTTAGTTTTTAAAAGAATCTCTATACTCATGGTCCAAAATAGTAAGAACAGAATTGTATGGATTACAATATTTCATTCTTTTCAGACACACGCATAACAAACGACCGAATCCTTTTGAAGAACATAACATATTTTTAAAATATAAACGAAAACTTCTTTGCTAATCTTTACTCTTGAATTACGAGTTTATTTTCACGAAATTAAAATTCATTAATATAATCAGTCATTCATAAAATCCGAACAATTCCTTTTTACCAATATACAGCAAAATAATGAAAGGAAATAATTCTAGTTTAACTTTTTAGTGTAGTTTAGTTGTATTTAATTTTTCTTTTAACGTCGTGAAATTCAAGTAACGGCAAAAGGAGGAAATTTCATGTGTATGAACTTGAAGCCCCGAAAGTAACTATCCCTCAAGGATTGACGTGGAAATTTCACGTAACCTCCGGCGAGAATAAATAAATTGTCTGGAGAATATCAAAGTTCTGTGCTATGGGTCATGTAGGTCGTGGAGCTCTCAGAACTTTTTCAGGCAACATCTGCGGTGCCCGTTTTTGTTTAAACGGTCCCCTTTCACGGAAAGAAGCTCCCACGGTTTAGCGAAAGTGACATTTGCATTTTATATTGCGGCCATTCATTTTTCGAACGCGCTGTTTTTCGAGAGCTCGCGATTTTTGTGAGCTGGGGAAAGACTTATTTTTATTCGAAGGCTAAAAGCGTTTCGTTGCGATGTGTTGAAAAAATATATATCTGTACATATATATATATATTCTCAAAGCTAGCGCCTTTTCAATAGATATTTAGCGTGACGAACGCGCATAAAGCAGGCAGGGGATAACAATGCAGAACACAGAATGTCCATTTTCCTAGTCGCGTGGACTTTACCAGGTAGACGTTGGAATATAGTGACAATGTAAATTAAATTACGTGAAAGAGCGTAACGGAATGTGGAAGTTAATTAAATGGATAATCAGTTTTCAGTTCTACGATGATTTCTGTGGAACTTGTGCTTTCACAGATAAAACGAATAATTTTGCTAATAATAGAATGTATCGATACATTACCAACAATTCGTTACTAGATTATAAAATCCTAAATTGTTTCAAATGTACTAGTACACAGAGTGCAAAAGAATTTATAGTACAACAGAAATGCAAATGATTCTATGTGTAAAAATAAAGGAAAAATGATCCATATAAC